ACTAGTCATAAGTATAAGGCAAAGGTGGTTTCTAGCATTGGGGAATTTTTGAGGAGCAGTAAGTCTGTATTGTGAGCTGGCTGCAAGCCAAGATTGTGGACAACAATTTAAGTCAATGTTGACGTCCCAAATCAGGGTCGTGAAAAAGACAATAACTAAGCTTCACCTTGAGAAAAATCACCAGCCAATCTCACAGAAGAGTTAATGTGTGCAAATATGATTCGCAGATATATGGCTTGATTTTCTGAGAAACAGACACTAAGAGATAACAGAATATAACCTTCAGCAAGAAAACAACCAATCATAAGAGGCGGCTTCAACGCTAACTATAACGCTAATAATCATGCACATAAAAATCTAATAATACTTCTTGATTTTTTCAATGCACGATCTGTTGCCTAGCCATTGTTTTCTGCCGTTACAAGTCAGTTATCAAGTGTCAGTTTGCAGGGATTAACTGGTTACAGGGTTGTTCACGACATAACCACCAGGTAGAGAACTATTGGAAAACCAACTAGGAGTACTGGACGTCTATTTCCTCCGTCCTAGTTTGATACTCTTCAGTAGTACATACTCGGAAGGTCCCAGTGAGTGTATATTGATGAAGATCCCCAAGCTAGGCTGACGAAACAGCTATCCAGTGGAAATTTGCTGCACACAGTATAAAGAACAAGCTTCAGCTTTTCAACAATAATGTGATGTCAGTGATTCTACATATGCTGGTAGAGACAAAGACAGAGAGACAGTTTGACAGCCCACCAATCAATATGACCCAACCCCTGTCCGTTACGATTTTCATGTCATTATTAGTTGTCTTATAGTGTGTAAACTCTTACTAGTCGAGGTTGACCTTCTATGACTGTTGTATTTTATCCTCTTAAGTAAGTAAATGTGATTCATTAATTATTTTGTTTGTCAACACTCTTCGTTATGCTTTTGTCTTCCCTGTAATGAAAGTTGTTGCTGCACTGTTACCACCTATGTGTAGCTGTATCCTTCCTTTGATATTCCAAAAACAGATACAACTAAAGCCACCTGCGTTTTTTTACTAACAGCAAACCCTGGACTCTGTGTTGTTAGTATTGATAGTGAGAGTTAAGATTTGTAGGCAAATTCAACCCTAAACTCATAACGAAGCAAACACAAAGGACACACAGTGAGTAGACCTTTGAGCGACGAAATGCACCAAGTTATCCTTCGGGTGGAACGTAGAATGGGGAACAACGAGTTCAATGTCCCAGGGTGACAGCAGAGGAGATGAAGATTCATGGGCAACCAGCTGAAAAACGGCTGCAGACAATAGGAGGGGATGGGCATAAGATTATGAAACCGTATGTTCCACACAGAACTCAAGGGAATAATAATTATAATATGATTTAAACCAGTGCCTCTCTGTCTTCAACATAGAACTTTGCACCAACTAGCAGCAGTTAGAGTCGCCACACTAACTCCTTGTAGCACACAAAGCAAGAAAAGAAAGTAGAAAAAATGCATAATAGAGACAGTAAACAGAGGTGTGAGACAAAGGAATAGTAACAACGAAGAACAATATAGTTTCACTGGAAAATATAAGTCACAAGGAGTGGATACATGTGCGCCAACCATCATTGAGAACGATTTTGAGCCATACCACTAATTGCCTCCAGCTTTCATTGGTGTTTACCGTCCCGAGGACCCCAACAAGATAGGAAGTCTACATCTTCCTATGTGGCTTAAAATAACTGTTGGGAATTTCATTGACTGATGAAGCCATGTTTTGGTTTGACCACCACTGACTCTTTTTCAATCTCAACCTATGCCAGTTAGCTAACACTGCCCGTCGAGGAAGGCGATGACTAGGCATACGCAATACATGTCCTAACCATCTCAGTCGATATAGCTTCACAGCCTCGTCGATTGATTTCCCCTCCTTACTTAGCACTCGACCGAAGCTTAACCTCAATATTGTTCACCTTATTATACCAGTTCACACGGGAAATAGAACGCAGGCACCTATGATCAAAGACAGCTAATCTTTTCGTGTCTTTTCCTCTCAATGGCCAGGTCTCGCTCACAGGCATAAAGGAGGACGGAGCGGACTGATGAGCGTTAGGTCGATAGCCTAACGAACCACTTCCCTTCTATTCAGGTCTTACTACCAGGGCTAAGCGAGATTTAGGAGAGCATCTGGTGGTGGTAATTGAACCCAGACCTCATGTGTGGACTGACATGGATGCAGGTGAAAAGTACAGCAGAAGGAAGACAGAAGCAAGTGGAGACGTGCAGTTGAAGCCCTATGTCCAACTAAGAACTCAAGGGAACAATAATAATGAATTCACATAATTAGAAAGTCAGACTGAAACAGAGTCACTTGTACAGCTTATCGCTTGGAGTACAAGTATCAATGACCACAGTTTCTACTCATCGTTATGGGTACCACAAGGTGTGTATGGTTGGGTCACCAATATGTGAGTCTATGATTCCTATGATGATAGGTATCATGAGCAGCAGTATCAATCGATGACGAAAATGCTGAAGATACAGAAGAGGTGAAGCGTCACTGTAGCATTGAAAATGGAAACAATCAGTTGGAGTACTTGGTGGCTGTATCACCGATTGATTCGCTCAACATGTGGAGACGATGAGAGAAACTCAACCAACTAAGAATACACTCCACGGCGACTTTTCTTCCACCATTTATCTATTTATCTATCGGCGCTTAATCTCTTAGTCTCTCCAACTCCTTCTCATCACAAACAGTGAATGTAGTTAGACTGAAAGTCAGTCAATCAGACCATCACTCAGTCATATGTCGAGTGCGACTAGCATCCAAGTTCATCACTCAGCATATATCAATGTATTCTCTCCGGTTAGATGAAAGTCACTCAGCATCACTATGCAGAAGGAATTATTTCGACAGTCAGAGTAGAAAGTGACCACTATCAATATCCCACTGTGTGGCGTGTTGCGTTTAGGTATTTATTTATATATTTGAAAAAACAAAGAATGTTTCCTGAGGAACACTTTTGGGAATAATCCTTTAGCAACATTGCGTCATGCTATTAACTCATCGCAATACATCACTTACTTATACGACTGAACGCTTATGAAAACAGTTGGCAAGCCATTTTATTACAATCTTCACCTGTAAATCACCTTGATACGTGTTTATCTGATTCAGAGATCATATGGCTAGTAGTTTGTGGTAAACGTTATACGGACACAATTTATGCATAATGAGAGTAACGTTTAATAAACTTTGTGCTTTTGGAATAATGTGGAGGATTTGTAACTCAGGTAGACATTGTTTACGATGTGATTGTGTTCTCTGAGCTTGGTGGTTTAACTGAGAAGCATCTTGACAACAACACCAGAGCTTACATAACACTAAAGTATACGCTGAAGCTGTCATCCAGATGCTATACAATTAAACCTCAACCGATAGCTGCTAGCTTGATGCGGTGGTGGTCAGGTTTCAATATCGCAATGTCCCCCCCCATACACACACACAGACAAGTTACAGCTGACTACAATGAATATTCGTGCAAGTCATACCATACCAGAAAAGTCTTTTTGACAGCGATTAGACTAAAAGCACCTATCATCATAGTGTTTAAGTAGTTCACAGTATGCTGGAGGTCTGTCAGCAAAGATGTACTGTTAACGGATAGGGATGTGCAACAGGAGACAGTGAGCCTGCTATATTGTGCTTCTCCGCTCGGGGGGCAGGAGTCTAGAAAAAAGTCGATTGCGAAAACTGTACATCCCGACTAACGCTGAAGTTAATCGTATAGCTGACAGTAAGATCTAGATAAGAAGACAACTCTGACCGGTCTCAAGCAGCTGTCCATTGGGCTTTGTAGTCATAATTTTTCTGTCTCACGTACTCCAAAAAGAAATCGACTTTCGCAGTGTGGACAAAAGTACACAAGACTCTGGTGATCACCTCCCACCGTGCAAAATAGACCACCCAACTTGGAGAACACTACAACACCAGAAACTTTGCATTTCTTCAATAAATATTCATCATCGACAATTTATATTAGTGATACTTTGATCAGGATGTGAAATTTACCAAAACTAATAAGATGACTAGTATGCATATACGTCAATAATGGTGAACATTGAATCCTTTGTTTATTCGAAATGGTCTCTATTTGGCGGGAAACAACAAGGCTATCATTGCTCAATCGTAATACTGGTTGGCAAAAGACTAGAGAAATAAGACCAGAAGTATAATTGTACAGACTTCGCACTTGGTAATAATTGTAATTCTGTTACGATATCCGTGGAAAAATAAATAACCGTAGTGCCTATAGTTTTCTGTTGTTCCACGTCGGTTACCGTGCATATATAGTACCAGGTTTAGTCTTCTGAAACTATTGAAATATCCAGGATCTTTGCGATCTGGATATTTACCAGTGTATAAATGACACATCTCTGGAGAGATATTTCATCTATCAGGCTAAAAGCTACACTGCTGATTATGTCAGAGTTGATAGTACAACCCAGTTAGTTGTTTTTTCCTTCACGTTCCCCAGTGGTACATAGGACTTCAAGCTAGAGGCTTGAAGTTTCTGTAGCAGTGATGATTACTTTCACAGGATGGGGTTGTTGCTAGCCTCATGCCCAACCTTTCCTCTTTACCAGAATTATTTCTGGCTCAGCAAGGTAAAGGATTGTGTCGATGGCCGGGGATCGAACCTCGGACCATGTGAATGGTCGGCAAGTGTCCTAACCGCTATACCACTGACGCACAACCCAGTTAGTTAACCGGGATGAACTCAGGCTGTAGTAGTAGTAGTAGGTGAAGCGGGACTCGAATCCATGATCCATTTGGCAGCTGTAAAAGTATATAGTGACGACAGCATTACAAAATTTCAATGCATCAATCCATCCATCCATGAAACAGTAGCTTTTAGTAAATATACTAACAAAAGGAAAAAAATCGATAAATAATAATAATAATCCGATAAATCAACAACTTCATAAATATCCCACTATCACTGCTGACTACCTACCATATCAACTAGTGCAATATAAACAAACATTCCTGCAGCTAACATAAATATCCATGTATCGAGTGAGTGTAATCCACCGAGTAGAAAGCCCAGAATCATTCCACCAGCGCATAATACACTTGATAACAGATTGTAGAAAAGGGCAGATTTTACAGACATTCCAGCGTGTAACAGAACAGCAAAATCACCTAGAAAAAACAAAAAAAATAGAGTGAGAGAAAGAAAGAAAGGAAGAAGAGGATAGATGAAGAAACATCATCCCGCTTAAATAAGCAAACATATAAGCAACTCTATTATGTAATAGAATACAAATTATGAAAATATCTCTGATTCGCAAATCTCAGTATACTTTTAGAAGTGTTAAATTTAGTTGGACAGAACGTGCAACACATTTTACACATTACACACTACTGTTCACGCATATACACAGATACGTGGAATTTCAAATTCCATAGAAACAGAGCAGCATACCGATAATACACCACTAACGGCCTCAAAATAGATGGCATTCCTCACGAAGCACTGAAAATGACCCCAGAGATTACGGCAGATATTCTCACTCCATTACTGCACAAAGATTGGAAAGAAGCAAATGTGCCTACTGATTAAAAGAAGGCTTGGCTACCTTGTCAAACTGCCGAAGAAGAGCGACTTAGGCCTGTGCAAGAACTGGCGTGGAATAATGCTCCTGTCCACGCCAAGTAAAACACTACGTTACATCATCCTGGAGAGAATAAACGATACACTGCATACAGAACCCCTCCCCCAGCCACTCGGAACAAGCTGGATTCAGGAAAGGCAAATCATGTGCTGATCAAATGGCAACTCCACGCATCCTCATCAAAAAAAAACAAAGCATAGAATGGAAGTGGAAACTCTACCTCAACTTCCTTCATCGACTTCGAAAAAGCCTTCGACAGATAGTGTTGACCGATAAGTAGTTTGGAAATTACTTCTACACTACGGTGTACAGTCTTTGTCAACCTCAACCTCAACAGCTGGCTCTATATGACAATGCCACGTGTCAAGTGATCCACAATGGAAAACTCAGCGAGGCATTCAAAGTGCATACAGGAGTAAGACAAGACTGTCTATTATGACAGATGATATTCTTAATTGTGGTGAACTGGATAGACGACGATAATCAAGTTTAACGGATATGTACTGCTAAAGATCCTTGTGTTTCGTTACAAACGGCAGAAGTGAATAATAATCAAATTAATGCAACTATAAGATGGTTGTCAGACTGATACGCAGATTTGAATGAAAGAAGAAGTTATTAACACGCAATTAGTATTCTCACCAACACATCCGTCCATCTCAGCGCTTACCTAATTCATGCGGCAATTCATGACACAATACAGCTATCGATGTTGACAATCCACCACGAATATCATTGGCAAACGCTGCACCAATAGCTATACCATCACAGAAATTGTGTAATCCATCGCCAGCAATGATAGTATAAGCAATAGCACGTACAGAGCTTAAATCATGACTATGCCCATGATGATGTCCGTGCGGTTTATCACGATGTGGATGTGTATGACTTTGTTCAGCACTGCCAAGATAACTAAATGATGAATTCTTCTTCACAATACCGGCACCGGCACCGCCACCACCGTTGGATAAATCATTTTGACCTTGTGTATGATTGGAAAGTTCTAAAGCAGCCAGCTAAATATATGCAGTGGGCGTTGCATTTTGTGTAATAGAAGAAAACAAGTGCTCTATGCATTAATTAATTATCACATGAATATGTAGTGATACAAAAATAATTATTATTATTATTGATTTTTTAGAAAAGAAAACGGATTATAATAAGAATAACATTAATATTAATAATGGTGTCTACACCACAATTAGGCGACAACAGGTCATAAAACCACGATGAACATCGTCCAAAGAAGATCAATATGGCATGATCAGGATACAATTAGAGCAAACCGTTAAAAGATAACGATATATATATACGCTACAGTGCCAATTCTCTTAAGCATCTTTATATTAGAGGTCAGTGGAGCTATGAGATAGTAGATAACAACACGCATATCTTTATAATGAGATACGCCTAGAAGTGTAGTCTACTACATGATGCGTTCTTTTCTGTTCTATTTGGTTTATTTACTTGTTTGTTTGTTTGCGTTTTTAATACAAAAAGTCAATCTGAACGAAGAATATTCTTTTCAATAATTTCGCCTATTCAGGTTCTTACAATTTATAAATGTGCAGTTCGCTTACCTGTCATATAGGAAGGAAGGAAGGAAGTGTGTATACTGAGCTTTGGTCTCTTCCTTATACACACTTCCTTAGCTTCGTACTGATGAAATACATACATACGTAATCTAATCAGGTGCATTTAGCATTTAGACCGAGGTCTATTTGTTCCGAAGACTGTATAGAGAAAGAACTCCAGATCATCCGAGATATTCTAAGCGAGAACGGATATCCAGAGAAGTTTATATTAGAGCCAACATAGGTTACACAATAGTCGTAAACATGAACTGACAACTGTGGAGAAAAAGCCTTTGTTTTTACGTCTCCAATTCAAGGGAGATTCTGTCTCAACGTTTAACCAGGGCGATCAAGAAAACTTTCTACTCTGCACGTCTGTGTCTATTCTTCACTAGCCGTCCAATGTTTATCCAGCAACTCAAAGATGTTGTTACAGGACTGGACTACACTGACTAACTCCTAGTTTAGAAATAGGAAGTGAAGTGGTAGAGCACGTTGACCGCTTCACTTATTTGGGAAGTACCATCAGCCAGTGCCAACGGGTTGATCTCTGACGAAATCTCAACATGGATGCAGAGGGCTAGCTTCGCATACGCCAGTTTACGCCGACTCTGGTGTGGACGAGATGTTCGACTATCGACCAAAGGGCGCGTGAACTGCTCATCAGTCCGCTCCGTCCTCCTTTATGGTTGTGAGATCTGGCCATTGAGAGTGGAAGACATGAAAAGACTAGCTGTGTTTGATCATAGGTGCCTGAGCTCTATTTCCCGTGTAAATTGGCATAATAAGGTGAGCAACATTGAAGTTAGGCTTCGAGTTCTAGGTAAACAGGGGAAATCAATCGACGAAGTCGTGAAGTTACAAAGACTGAGATGGTTAGGACATGTGTTACGTATGTTACGTAAGTCATCGCCTCCCTCGACGAGCAATGTTAGCTGATATAGGGTCAGGCGGGAAAAAAAGATAGCGGCGGTCAAACAAAAACATGGCCTCACCAGTCAATAAAATATACAACAGTTGGTCTAAGCCACGTAGGAAGGTGTAGACTTCCAGGCTGGGGTCCTCGGGACGGTAAAAACCAATGGGGGCTGGAAACAATTGGTGACATGGCTCAAACTCATCGTTCTCAGTGGCTAGCGCAGATGCATCCACCACTCCTTGTGACTTATGATCTCCAATGAAACTGTTTTGTTCTTCGTTATTACTCTTCCTTTGTCTCACACCTCTGCTCACTGTCTCTATTATGCTTTTCTTGTACATTCTTCTCTTGCTTCGCGTGCTACACGGAGTGTGGTGACTTGAACTTCCGCACATTTGTGCAAAGTTCTATGTCGAAAACAGAGAGACAGACAGACAAACACCAGGCAACTGAATCGCCTCAAAAAACCGCCACTTTGCTCTAACTAGAGGGAAGTCACTCTCCTGGTAGATGTGAGTACTATCCAACTACTCATATCAAAATAGTGAAAAGAATACTCTGAAATCCTGCGATTTCTTCAGAAAGAATTTGGAATTTCAATACACACAAACACATATACACACACACACAGAGACAGTTGAACAACAAAGTACTGATCCCTTCTAAAGGAAAAAACGATCTGATATCATAGTGTTTGATAAACCAACCAAGAGAAATGTCCAAAATGAAGCATTAAATAAGAGGACAGAGTCATGAAGACGGCAACAGCGAAGAATAGACACCACAGTCAAGTGACCTTAAATGAACCAACCAATCAGATTGCTCAGAATTACAAATGATAACTTTTCGTAATCTCCGTGGCAAGTTTCACCCTTTAAGCTAATCTTATCCTAACCTTAACCCTGAATCAGGATGCAAGTTGTAATATAGATCATGAAACGCATCCATTTGTTATGCTGAGCGATCTGATTGGTTGGTTCAAGGTCGTCCGATTGTGGTGCCTATTCTTCACTGTTACGACAATGTAAGAACTGTCGGGTAAAACATTTTAAAGGATATGATGGTTTTAATTCCGAATAAAGAATATAATGTTTAGGGTTAATAACAGCTTCTTAAACAGGCACATATTCACCTGCAAGTTATCACATGAATATTAAAATCATCATCATTGTTAACTGGGATAACATGAAAGTAAGATATCAATGTCAGAAAATTAGGTTTTAAATTAAGATGAAAACAGATAAATAATCCATATATCTATGCCCCCCCCTAACACACAAATCGGCTAGGCTGCAGGAGGAGTAATCACCTGAACAATATACCCACGCCTATTCAATGAATGAATAGCTAGTGAAGGGTTGAATGCCTAAACACCCTTTTGTATACATGCTGAAGTAACTTCTTCTTCTTTTCAGATAAGGGAAGCGGTCAACAAATGCACCTATTCCACCTCTCCATCCATCCTTAAACTAGGCGCGGATACAAACCAGTCGTACAGCACTAAAATCACATTTCAGCATACCGCATAAATAAAAAAAAGATACTCCTACGACAGGAGGAAACATTACAACTTAATGTTAACGCGACCTGCAAGTCAAACATTTAGCCGTAGGGCAAATGACGCGTTCAGCCAATGATACATACTAACCAGGCGTTGGTCTCCAGGGATTTGATTGATTACCTATAGGTTTATTACGAGTTGACATCAGTTGAACCAAACCATTAGAAAACGTGAGAGTACAGAAAGGACAGTTGTTTCGTTCTGGTGCTTTGAGACTCTTTACAAGTATGCACCCACTGGAGTTCGAACCCAGGATCTGCCAGTTACAAAGCAAGTTCGTAAACTATTCAACCACTAGGACCCTGCGCCGCAGGGTTCAGAGAGCCTGGTAAGGAAGGGAACAGTTACTTGTCTGAAGCTGAACAGTCCACGAGCTCACTTTGTAACCAGAAGATCCTGGGTTCGAACTTGTGACTTTGGATGCCTACTGCCGAGGAGTCAACACAAATCAAGATAAAATAGCTATTCAGTATTCCCAGGTTTTCCAATGATTCTCTAAATGACGTCAGCTCATGATGAAACCTGTCAAAATCCTAAAGTAGTAATTTATTGGTCAAGTAAAATGAGCATAAAATTTTGTTTTAGTTTTTAGTGATATTGTATTTTCCTAGAAGCGATAAATCTTCATCCTCTTACTATTGAGCCTTCTGTGTCTCTAAACAGAGTAGGACTAATAATCTGGAAATCAGTGATTCATTGTTGTGTGTTGCAGTAACACTAAGAACAATTATCAAATCCAGGCACAGCATAGTAAGAAAACAGATAAATAAATAATGGAGATATACTACTTTGTTGGTGGTTAACATTGCAATCCAGAAGACACATTTTGTCCTACCTAGGGGTTAGTCAAGTGCATGTATGATGATGTCCCGCTTGAGACTGAAAACCCAACACACAACTTCTCAGTCTCCTCTACCAGGTCATTGGGAGGACACAAAAGAATTCTACTGCTAAGTCACCGACGCAAACTATCTGTTTAGCCAGCACATATTCGGCATGTGAACATGTGAACAACATATACAGAACATGTTATACTCATTTCAACCGATAGGGCTTTCCAGCTTGTTGTTTCACTTCAACTCCTCTTAATGTAACAATCCACCCCCTATACTCTGTATTAATAACTATAATACGTCGAAGAAACAGAAGATTACACAGGAGCACCATTGGTCACAAACCCCTACATACATGCATACAATCACCTAAACACATTATCAGTGTTCTTCTGACGACATTCTGTATATACTATCAAATAAGTGAGATACGGAAAAACTTCTTTCCACTAATACGACTTGACTGAGTGAGTTTCAATGTAAAATTTTGTACAGAGATTTACCAGTTCAAACTTGTTATAAACCATGTGGCGCACAAAAGAAAAGAAGTAGAAAGAACATTCAAAAGAAATATAATCGTCAGAAATGTACAGAATAAACATAAGGATTTAATATGAATCCAGGCGATTTTGAAGAGTCAATGCAACTTCCCTATTCAGAAGGGTTTTGAGCCATATTAACAACAAATCTCAAAGTTATTGGGTTTTAACGTTCCCACGCCCCTAACAAGACAATCTACGCCTCTCTCTGCATGGCTGTCTCAAAGAAATAATCAAAGTTTACATAGAGTGATGAAAGCTTTTTGGTTTAACCAACTCATTTAACTGTATGTCAGTCATGCGTAACACGTATCCTAACCATTTTAATCCATGTAGCTTCTCTGTCAACCTCATCCGACTGACTTCCCTGTCTTATATATAATACTCTACACCTAGCCTCAATATTACTCATCCTATTACACCACGTCACACAGCAGATAGAACGCAAAAATATCTTCGACTTTCAATAGGCATATCTCATAGCCATAAAGGCAAACAGAGCGAATTGCTGCGCGGCACAAATGTCATTTGGTAGATAGTTCGATATCATGCCATCACCAGTAGTAATGACGAAAGTTGAACATGTGCCA